AATGTGAAAAATCGGGATGGGGTGGGGGGTAATAGGAGCCTATATAAGAAAAAGACCCAAAAATTGGGACATCTGGTCACCCTAATTCTAGCTCTCACCACTCTGGATTAGACCAGCGATCCTTTCTAGTCTGGTATCTGATCTGGTGCCACACTGCATTAGACCTTTGGGCCTATCAATTTTGGTGGCTATAAGTGATGGCAAACTCATCAGATCTTTGTTCCTGTCCATTCTGATAGCCCAACTCCTGCAGTGGTTTAGAACCTGCTATTTCACTCCACCTGCCCCATATAATGCACCTTGGCTGTGATCCAGGCTGTCTGAGCGTGGGGTTAACCATTCCTGATCACTTATACACTCACCAAGATTTGATTACACAGCAGGAGCTGTCCCCAGTTACCCAACAGAGGCACTTGAGTCTGGCGGAACAAAGTGCAGTTCCTTGGCTCTGCAGCAGGGGATAGAAAGGAACTACTCCCCTAGATCTGTTAGGTCAGCAGGTTCTTGTGCCTCTGTACTGTGAGCTGCGTGCATAGTGTTTGCCCAGAGACCAAACCCTATCTAGTGTAGCTGTACAATTGCTGCTTCGTGACTTAGATGCCATCCTGAAGGCTTCTGAGACCAGTCTAGCTGGCTGGCTAACGGGATAGTAGCATGATCACACCCAAGCTATTCTCAAGGAGTGCCTGCACAGATCTGAGCTTGCCAATGGTGTTAAGCTGGCACTGAGCAGGGTCATAGGTATTGGCTGTCCCCTGGCAGGCAAAATGAGACCACCTCACCTATGAGGAAGCTATACCCTTTTGGGTAGTGAGTTGCCAAGTAGCTTCACAACAGGAGACTTGCAAAGGGACTAGCTGCTCTCCCTGAAGAAGTGGTTTGAGGGTCATGACTCCAGGGTTCTGTTCCCACCCATCCTGTTGACTTGAATAAGTTGCAGTCTCTGCCAGTTTCAGTTTCCCCATCTGTGGACAGGAGCTAATAGGTCAGGTGTGGTGTGAGGCCTAATCGGTGTTTTGCAAAGTGTCTTGAGATCCTTGGATGAAAAATGCCAAGTATTAAGCCTGCCTAGGGTGGGCACTGGCCTAGGAAACCGAAGTTCTGTTTCCCATTCAGACTTCAGGCAAGTCTCTTCACCTCTGCTGCTTTTCCTTCCACTAGTTAAACTGTAAGATCTCAAGCCTAGGGATTTTTACTGTGTGTGTATAGTGCCTAGCGCAATAGGGTACTGATCTTGGCTGGGGCCTTTGGACTCTACTCTAATATGAATAAACCCCCAAATAGTCCCCTCAAAATAGAAGCTTCATTTAAAAAGCCCATGTGTGTATCACCTAACCAAGAGGGATGAGCAGACAGAGACGTAGGTGGTGTTTCTGAAACACGAGCTTCTGTAAAAGCTTGCAGGCTTGGTTTTACAAATCTGAAATGTTCAGCCAGATCTGCCCTGCCATTGTGTCTTTGAAAAATCTACTATTAAAAAGCCCATATTTGGAAATGTCTTTATTTAGAAAGACTATGTTTAGGGATAGAAAGAAGTGGACCATGACCCTTTGAAATGAGTCTGGATTCTGTGCCTAAACAGTCAGATTGCTCTCAGCCTGTTTTTTTGGTTTTTGTTTTATTATCTCTGGCTTTTGATCATTGCATTTCCCTCCCCACGGTGACTTTTGACCTGTTTTCTTCATGGTTGCTATGCCTGTTGCTTGGGGTAAGGTCATTTCTTTAAAATATCAGAGGGTAGCCATGGTAGTCTATATCCACAAAAATGAGGAAGTGGGGTTTTTACCCACCAAAGCTTATGCCCAAGTAAATCCGTTAGTCTTTAAGGTGCCACCGGAGTCCTCGTTGTTTTTATCATTTCTGTAGTTTCCTAAATGAGTGAAACTGAGCCCCTCCTCCCCCTTAGGAAAATAAAACCAGTTGTGGCCCCACTTCAGCTCTGCCATACATCTTAATGCATGCATCTTCAATGCATGCACTCTGTGCATTGTGAAACATTGCTGTTGATGTTAATGTGATGTTTCCTCTCCTTCCTTATGTGCTTTGAGCAGTGAATTAGTGATATTGACATTTAAAGCATCACTAGTAGCATCTGAGGGAGTGTCTTTTGAAATGATGGCGGCAGTCACATCTCAGAGCATTTGTTTCAGGCTCGCTGCAAACTCAGGCATTTATTGCTGCACCAGTTATGCACAGATCATGTTTCGGAGGTTTTCTTTGCAACGATAGCTGATCACTTCCCCTTTATTTGAAATGAAATCTGAGTCACTAAAGAACAACTGACAGATCTTTATATGCACACAAATGAGGGGATGTGCCTTACACTGCAAAATGCTGCCTGGGAAATGCTCTTCTGTTCAATGCTCTCGATGAGCCATTGTACTCAACAGAACTCATCCACTGGGCTTTGGATCAGGCCCCAAATCTTCCATGTATTATTCTTTAAAAGTGTGTGGGGGAAATAAAAGTCGGGCTTTTGCCCTTTATGCTTTATGGTAAGAAGGGAGCCTAAAAGGAATTTTGTGTTGCCTGTTTGTTTTGAATCCTTATTGAACTGAATTATCTTTTCTCCCAAATATTTGCAGGGCAGTTGAATTAAATAGAGCTTTAAACAGTCTGCATAACCCCCCCCCCCCACTTCTACAATTGTTACATCCTTTGTATTTGTGATGTTATCCAACCACCCTGTTCTTCAGTGATCCATAGAGTCTTCCAGGGGTAGGGTGACCAGATGTCCCGACTTTATAGGGACAGTCCTGATTTTGGGGTCTTTTTCTTATATAGGCTCCGATTACCCCCCACCCTCTGTCCCGATTTTTCACATTTGCTGTCTGGTCACCCTAAGGAAGACAAGATGTGAATTTCTAGTGCAAAACCCAGTAGCAATGGGGAAGAATTTCAGGCCTCTATCCATTGCAAACAAGCTAGACAAGGGCAAAAGCCCCATTAAGCGTTTCCTTGGCAGGTCACTTGTACGAATGAATTCTGGAGGAACTCAGCAGCCTGCTTGCTAAGTGGTGTTTATCCTTAGCAACAGTTTTATTGCAGTGGCACGTAGTGACCAGGCCCCATTGTGCTGGACACACCTGTTATAAAGAGAGAGATTCTGCACAGCTGAGCAACGACTAACTGTAGAAGGCACCATTCAAAACAAGAATGGGTTCTCGTGTGGATGCTGCATCCCCCTGACACGCTGTGCAGGACCTGTATTGGACTGAGCTCTAAGGCTCCTGTGTGTTCTGTTGGCTCTTATAAGCTAAGAGGGTCAAGCCTAGCCAGCATTTGGATGGGAGATGGTCTAGCAAAATCCTGATGCTGCTCAAAAGAGTGTTAGTATGGAGTATGGAAGCAATTCTGTAGCAGGGGGCAGGAGGTGCCATTTTAGGGGGGGGCAGTGGATAGGGCAGTGGACTGAGACTCACAAGCTCTGCCATTTATTCCCTATGTGACCTTGGGCAAGTCATTGTGCCTCAGTTCCCCATCTGTATGGGAGTGATAACCCTTCCTCTCCCCCCACCCTGTGTCTTGTCAGTTTCGGCTGCAAGAGCTGTCAGGCAGGCACCATCCTGTATGATGCGTAGTGTCTAGTGTAATGCGGTCCAGATCTTAGTTGGGCCTCGAGGTGCTACTGGAATATAAACAGAACACTGATCATCCGTCTGCTTGTGCTTGCTGACAGTCTTCCTGTGCTGTTTGCAGGGTTGGGGTGTGTTAATCCCAGTTCTCTGGCCATTTTCCAGTTGGGCTGCTTCCTAAATTTTCTCGGCTGTGTCACCAAGCTCCAAGATCTTTCACCCCCTGTCCCAACCTGTTGTGCAGCATTGCTGTTAAACAGCTGCTCCGTTCCATTCCAGAGGTGACTGCATTTCAGGAGTTTTTCCCTATGTAGTTGTGTGATCTCTAGCTGAGCAGCCCAATGCACAATGTCAGTTTCTATTTATAGCTCACTGAGGCTGACCTGCTCTCTGACCCATGCAAAAGAGAGGGGGCCAGCTTGGGGGTCTTGCAGGCAGCTGTGCAGTCGTGCACACTCAAATGCTGCAGAATCCTTCATCCCACTGCAGAATGCTAGCAGGCCTCTGGTTTCAATGTATCCCCTTAAAGAGCTCTCTAGTTCCTTCCAAACCTCTCCGCAGAGCTAGGTGTAATCACCTGTTGTACTATGGGCCTAATTTCCCTGGCTGGAATCTCAGGCAGGGATTAGTTATAGAAACAAGGCTGTTGAACCCATTGTTTAGGAGGAGATCCTAAATTCCATCCCCCACTCACTGCAAGGCAGGGGAGAGGGATGCAGGCGGCTTGGGTTCTAATCCTGCCTCTGGCAGGGACTTTCGGGTCTGGGCAGCTCCTGGCACAAAAGGGCCCTGATCTCAGTCGGGCAGGGCCTGTCTCTCGGTGTGTGTCTGTGCATTGCCTGGCACAGTGGGGCCCCAATCCCAGCCCTTCTCTTACACTAATAACCCTGGCTGCCTAAGCTGGAAACATTGTGTGCTTGCTTTATCACAGGTAGAGGAACTGGGGTCCCGGGTGGGCCAAACCCAAGTGGTGCTGTGACCCCAAGTGCCAGGCTGCATTAACACCACTGTCTCACAGCTGGAGAGGTGGGTGTGTTGGGGCTCCTGGGCCCAGCGGTTCAGGCTGCTGGTGGGGTGGGGGAGCTCGTAAGAGAAGAGGAGGGTCAGGCGAAGGGGTCCCCTTGTTTTACTGCAGCAGCCCCAGTTTACACAGGTGTAAGTCAGGCCACATGCTGTCAGCCCAGGGGGAGGCGGCCACCCTGGCCCCTGCCTGCCTGGGGCCCGATCAGTGCCCGCTTCGCCCACAGCCTATACCTAGCTGGCTCAGCCCCGATGGGCGCCGGGCCTGGAGCCATGTATCTCGGGTGGGTCCCTGTCCAGGCAGGGCTGGGCAAGCGGCCAAAGGGGAGGGGAAGCCGGAGCCAGCCTTGCCAGATGTGGGAAAGGGGACGAGGGGGTGCTGCGCCTCCCCCCGCCACGCCTGCCAGCGACAGGGCGTCTGTGCTTGGACCCTCCCACTCCTGCTGCTCCCCCGGTGCGGTGCCTCTGCCCGCCGTGGGGAGGGGGAAGCTCGCTCCGGCGCTCGCTCGCACACGCCCGCTGCTGGGGGGACCGGAGAGCTGCGCATCGGTGCGCGCGGGTCCCCAGCTCGTGGAGCGCCCCCAGCCCGCCAGGGGAGGAGGAAGGGCCCGGGGCGGCCAGCATGCGGTAGCCCCGGGGCGGGAGGAAGGAAGGGGCTCCGGACGGGAGACGCCTGTCATGTTGGCCGGGCTGCTCTTGGGGGCTGCCTGTGTGTCCCTGGTCCTCCCGGGCAGCCCGGGCAGCGCCTATCCCGGCAGGAAGAAGCCGCCCAGCTTTGCCGCGGACAGGTACCGACCCCAGCCCCCGTGCCGGGGGCAGCCAAGTCCCAGGCGCCTGGCAAGGCGGCGGGAGCCGCCCGGTGCCGCGGGGGTCAAGCCAGGCAGCGGAGCGTGGCCCCAGCGCCTGCGTCTGTCTGTGCCACCAGCCCCGGGGGAGGAGGGATCTCGGGGTCCGTCTGTCCCGCACGCCGCTGTGTGTGCTCCGTGCCTCGTGTCCGGCTGCCCCCTGGGCGTGTGTCCGTGCGCGGGGCGTGTCAGCGTGTGAGCGCTGCGCCTGGCTCTATCTCGCTGCCCTGCGCCTGTCCTGTGTGTACAAGGCTCGGGCCCTTTTCCTCCCTGTGTGTGTCTGGCCAGGGGCGGGCTTTGCCCTTCCCGTCCGTCTGTCAGTCCGGGGCACACTCCTGTCCTTTGCTCCGTGTGTGTGTGTGTGTGTAACATTCAGTCTTCCTGCGTGTGTCTGTCCACGTGTGATCACCATGCCCCCCTCACTGTGCTCTGTGTGTGTCTGTCTGTCCCTCTCAGTGTCTGGTCTCCCTGTGGGTCTGTCTGTGCCTTTCCCCTTTGCTTGTCTGTCCAGGTCACACAGCAGGCCTTCGCTCTGTGTGTGTGTGTTACCCACCATCTGTCTGCCTACGTGTGTCTCTGTCTGGTTCTGGGTCACACTCCAGGTTTTTGCTCTGGGGTGCGTGTTGCTGCACTGTTGCTCCCTGCCAAGGCAGGGGGAAGGATAAGGGAATCCTGGGCTGCCCTTCTCCCAGCAGTTCCTCTTGGGAGCAGAGAGGATGTCAGTCCCAGGACCCTGTTCCCCAGCACAGAGCTCCTCTTGGTCTCCTAGAGGCAGCTCTCAGTGGGGTCCTGGTGGAGTTGCAGCCTCAGGAAAGCAAGGGCTTCAGGGAACATGGGAAGCCAAGCAACCCCAGGCCTTGCATCCTGCTGCCTGGTGCTAACCCCCTTGGGGCCTTAGTTGAGTCTCTGTCCAGAGGGGTCATCCCTGCATCTGCAGCAGGAGAAGGGGTAGGGGCAGCTTGTCCTTCCCATGCTTCCCTATATCCCCCCTGCACCTTTGTTCTGGGGTTGCTCTCACCACCCTGAAGCCCCGTCCCAGAGAATCTGATGTTTCTCTCCTTCCCAGGCACCGTGTGGGGCCGCATGTTTGCCTCTCCGGCTTTGGGAGTGGATGCTGCCCTGGGTGGATGCCATCCCCAGCCAGCGGGCAGTGCACTCTGCGTGAGTATCCTGTGCCCTCCATTTCCCACCACCACCTGGTACCTGCAGCACAGACAGCGCCTCCCCTATCAGCCCCCAGGTGCCCGGTACTCTGCCTCTCCATGGCACAATGGCACCCCCCGGGGGGGGGAGGGGTAATGGCAACCACTGACCAGGCCACCCAGTGCAGAAATGCCCATCATGGCTCCTGCCCCTCCTCCCATCGCTGAGAGGGGGCCGTATTCACCCCGTTCCCCAAGAGATCCATTCCCCCCCAACTGCTTCCTTCATGTGCCCCCACCATCCCCTGCCCCCAGCGGCCAATGCTCTCCCATGGGATCTGCAGCCTGTCTGTCCAGCAGGGGATTGAGGGGCTCTTTCCAGACAGTGCCTGCTCTCTCCATTGGCTCATGCCAGGCTGGGTGTGTAAGAGCTGCTGCCCCGGGTGGAGATGTCACCGAGGGGTCCCTCTGTGTCCTGACCGGCGTCTCTCCCGGCCCCTCTCCCACAGCACTCTGCTCCTTTGGCTGTGGCAGCGGCTGGTGCATCGCCCCCAACGTCTGCTCCTGCCGGGATGGAGAGCAGGGCATCACCTGCCCAGGTAACTAGATCCCTTTGCTGAATGCTTGTGGCCCTTTATCTGCAGCCAGAGCCATTCATAGGAGAAGGGCACTATCTAGGGCTAAAACCAGGGGGCTAGGAGGCCTTGTGAGGCTGAGCTATCCGTGCAGTTGAGTGGTAATGTGGTGCCTGTGTGAGGGGCTGCAGCGATGGTGGCACAGACTGGTCTGTCCAAAGGGCAGAGAGCCACAAGTGGCTGCCCTGCTGCCAGGTTGTACTGCCCAGCTCCCTTTAGGAATCAGAGCCCAGGGCTGCCTGTCTCCAGCGAGGGAGTATGGGCTGGGTCCCAACATCTGGAGGGTCTGACTCCACAAAGCACTATGTGGTGGGAGTAGCGGGGGGCCTCGGAGTGGTGCTGGAAGGCTGTGACCCGGCAAGGGGCTGCAGGCAGCGGCGTGGCTGTGTCGGTGGGTTCCTGTGCCAGCATTCTCAGTATGTAGTGCAGGCAATGGGCTCCTAGGGCAGTTGCCAAATCCTGCTCCAATTGTGGTGCCTGTCTCAATGAGCCAAGGCAAACAGAGGCGCGGGTAGGAACAGTGAGGAGTCATCCACCATGGGAGGACCCAGCCGACTGGGAGTCTGAGGAAGAACATGGCTGGAGGTGGCGGGGGAACCAGAGCCGGCTTGTAGCTCGGGGACAGAGGGCTGGGTGTGCAGAGGACACCCACTCACCCAGAGAAGTTCCTAGAAGAGAGTCACCTGTGCAGCCTAGGCCCAGACACCGGGTGGTGCCACCATGCAGCGCACTCATGGAGAGCAGGAGGGGACCAGAGGGCTGTCCGGATCCAGCAGCTTCCACTTTCTATTAACCACAGCTGAGGCCAGGGTGGGTCTGAGCCCATCTTTCCATGGACAGGGTGGCACTGGAGTTCCCTGTTCCCAGTGACCCTCATGCTGCAGTGTTGATCTCTCCTCCCTGGGTCTCTGCTGCCCCCGCGATCCCAACTGGCCCGTCAGCCTGCTGCCGTATGTGTTTCAGATCCGCCCAATGCCTGTGGGGAGTATGGCTGTGACCTCGCCTGTAACCATGGTGGCTGCCAGGAGGTGGCCCGTGTCTGCCCGCTGGGTTTCTCCATGGTGGAGACGGCCAACGGCGTGCGCTGTACAGGTGAGCACTCATCAGGCTGTCCACCATTGGGCTGACCCCCGATCAGAGCCCAGACCTGTGGCAGCCAAAGTCAGTGAAGCAGCAGAGCTCCGAAGGGCTGTGAGCGGAGGGGTCTGAGTGCCGGCTGGGCATGGGCAGCAATGCAGCCACGCTCGGGATGCCAGTGTGGCAGAGGGTGACCTGCACCCACTCGGGGTGTGGTGACCGGGCCACAGACAGAGGTGGATGAGCCTGCTTTAGTCTTGGCTAGCAGAGCTGGGTGTTTTCACTCTGGCATTAGAGGCTTGTCCCATCCATTGGTCCCAAGTTCAATCCCCGCTGACGATGATCCAGCCAGGGGCATGAGCTCCTCGCCTAGAGAGCTCCCCCATCCCTGGCTGATTCTCCCCAGGAAAAGCTGGATCTGCTGGCTGGGACAGGAGTGCCACTTTCTCCTTACAGCTGATGTATGGGCTCCCTGAGCATCCCCGCTGGAGTGCCCATGTTCCCTCAGCTGTAAACAGGGCTGGCTGTGCATGTGTGTCCATGGGAGTGGCCAGGTGCCCTCTCCTCCCCGGACCCCGCTGCCAGGTGGTCCTGTCTCTCTCCTAGACATTGACGAGTGCCTGAGTGCCTCCTGTGAGGGGCTGTGCGTCAACACCGAGGGAGGCTTTGTGTGTGAGTGCGGCCCAGGCATGCGGCTTTCCGCCAACCGGCACAGCTGCCAGGGTGAGTCCCTGGGCCTCAGGGTGCAGAACGAGGGATCAGAGAAAGGTGGGGGTGGGGACTGGGCCGAGTGGCTGGTACCGGTGTGTGTAGGGAGGGTGGTGGGAGTTCTGGGGAGTTGTGGGGAGCACCTGTCTCATCCTTTCCTCTTCCAGATACGGACGAGTGTCTGGCCACTCCGTGCCAGCACCGGTGCAAGAACAGCATCGGCAGCTACCGGTGCTTCTGTCGTCCCGGCTACCACCTTCACGGCAACCAGCACTCCTGCTTGGGTGAGCGCCTCCTCCTCCTGCTGATCCGGCCCTCCCCATCCCTCCTGAGAAGCCCCTCTTCCCTCGCCACCCAGTCCTGCCCCTTCTCAGACCCCCCTCTCCTCCAGTAAGGCTTTGGTTCCAGAGTGCTGCCCAGTCAGTGATACTCCCCCAGCTCAGGGGAAGAGCTGAGTGCTGGTATCCCCACACTACCACCAATGGGGCAGCCGAGACACTGAGGGGTAAAGGGGCTTCCTCATGGCCATGGCAAGGGACCCAGGAGTGGAAGGACTCAGTGGCCAGAGCGGAGATCAGGCCCTCGGTGCATTGGAGCTAGTAGGTAGCAGCCGTTGGAGCTGAGCAGATGTTCAGCCCAGCCCCATGAGGTGGGAGCTTTCAGGGGGAACGGGGAATATGGCCCTTGGGCTGAGATTGTTCTAGCTTCTCCCTGATACAGAAGTGGGGACTCTGGCAGTTAAGGTTCCACTGTCTCCCTCTTTAGTGAACCGAGTAGGGGGCCCCCCTGGCCTATTCCCTTCCCTCTCCCCGCCGGACAGCCCTGTTTCACTGCAGTGACTTGAGTGTGGTCCCACCCAGCTCACCCTGCTGCGGGGGGAGGGGGAATGAGGCTGTGGAGTCATCTATTATTGCCGATTTGTGTCGTGGCAGGAGCCAGCTGCCCAACTCCTAGACCAGGTTTCCGTGGGGGTGGGGGCAGGACAGACCCAGAGCAAGAAGATGGGCCCTGTCCCACGGAGCTTACAGTCTGAATCCCTTTGTGGTGCCTTTTCAGAGCCGGGGTAGCTCCAAAATGGAGAAAAGGCCTTGCCTTCCCCTGAGGTCCAGTGAGAGGTGCCCCCCAGGCTGACTTTGCCCCTTGGCCTGGCTGAAGGCCATCTCCAGACAGGCCTGAGATATCAGCGCGTGGCGCTGGGGTGCCCGGCTTTGGGGGCCCCTGGTGAGTGGGCAGACAGGTGGTGAACGCCCAGGCCTGGCCATCTCCCCAGTCCCAGCCTGCGTGGGGAAGAGCCCTACCTAGCTCCTGCCCAGACCCAGTGAGCAAGTACAGTCCCCTGCCCTCCCTCGCAGCTGGTGCTGCTGCCGGGCACTGATGCCTGGTTCTGCCACCCACAGATGTGAACGAGTGCCGCCGGCCCAGTGAGAGGCGCCCCTGCCAGCACGCCTGCCACAACACGCCAGGCAGCTTCCTGTGCACCTGCCACCCTGGCTACCGGCTCAGCGGGGACAGGGTGTCCTGCGAAGGTAAGGGTGGGCCCCGCTCCCCCGCCTGTTGGGGGGGCGCAGGCCTGCCCATGGTCCCCTGTTGTGGAGAGCATCAGGGTTGGGGTTAGCTCCCGCCCCCATTCTGTGCTGTGGGGAGGGGGCTCTTCCCATTGACAGAGTGGAGAGGGAGTGGGGGTCACGGCTCACGGCATGGGGAGGTTCTCCATAACGGACTGTGGGTCTGGAGAGCTGGGTTCTGTGCCCTGCAGCACAGGCAGAGCTGGTGTCCCTGGGCCTAGTAGTGTACTCTGGGCATGTCCTGCACCAGTCCCTGGGTCCCCGCCCAGCTGCTCCAGCTCTCCCCAAAGAGCTCCGTGTTGTGTTTCCTTCCAGGCTTCCTGAAAACCATCCCAGCCCCGTCTCCCATCCTGCAGTCCCTGCAGCACCCCCCAACTCTGCTGCTGCTCCCTCCCGACTCTGGGGGACCCCTGCTAGCCCCCAGGGCCTCCCTTCCTTCACATGCCCCTGCCCCCGACCCCAGCCCCCGGACCCCTTCCTTGTTGACTGCCCCACCACCCAATTCCCTCTTGCTCCCGGCTGCCACCGCTGCCCCTGGCGTGTTCTCCCCACTGCCGCCATCGCTGCTCCAAGGGGAAGTCCTCTCGCCCTCGCCTCGTCCCTCTGCTTCTCTGCCGCCCGCCCTTGCCACCTCGTCTCCCCTCTGCTGGCACCAGGGGGCGCCGCGGGAGCACAGCAGCCATTGGACGGAGCCTGGGTGCCTGCACTGTGCCTGCAAGGTAGGTACCCTCCCACCGGGTCCCTGGCTCCCCTGCCGTGCTCTGGACAGTCCCCCACTAACCGGCCTGTCCCATTGCAGGAGGGCCAAGTGGTGTGTGAGGCGGAGAGCTGCAGGATTGCCTGTTCCCACCCGCTGCCCCCGAAGGACGGGGGGTGCTGCCCCAGCTGCACAGGTGAGACCCGCACCCCCTACTCTCTCTGGCTCAGGCCCACGGGGTCCATTGGGGTCACCGGAGCTGGATGGTTCGGTCCCTGCTGGTTCCTGTCCCAGGTGTGGGTTGTTTCCCAGCCTGGGTGATGCCCAGCTGGCTGGGCTGTACGGCTGCTTCTTGGAGGTCTGTGTGGGTGCCCAGCTCAGCTGTGGCCCTGAGGGCATGGTGGGAAGGCTCATGCTGTCTCCCCCAAGTGGAGCTGGGAGCCCAGGGCTGTGCCCAGTAACCTCATGCTGCCCTTGCTTTCCTGTCTCTCGCAGGCTGTTGGCACGAGGGGGTCGCCCGGGCCGAGGGGGATGTGTTCTCTGTGGCTGATGGAAATTGCACAGTCTGCATGTGCCTGGTGAGCATGGCACTGGCTAGGGGATCCAGGCACCTCTGGGGTCTCTGAGGAATGATGTGAGCTTATTACCCAGACTGGCTGGAGGGGATTCCCTAAGGAATTTCTTCCCTGTCCTGGAACTCCTGTGACATCGGTGCCCAGGGTAGCGGGGAGCCAGAGGCTTAGTGAGGTCACTGTCCAGGAGACTGATTAGAGGTGGTGGCCATGGTGACGTGGCTCCTCAGCTGGGGGTTCAGGGACAGAGACATGGCCCCTCAGGTGGGTCGGGGTGGAGATATGGGGCTTTGGTGAGGGGATCAGACATGGCAACATGGTCCCCTCCTTGTGGGGTTGGACATGGGTTTAAATGAGCACCCCGAGGAGGGGAGAGTTGCCCAGTGCCAGGTCTGTGGCATGGGGCCCTGGATCTTTCCCTGGCATTCCCTTTGGTTTCTCTCTCTTCCAGGCCGGCAACGTGTCCTGCATCTCCCCTGAGTGCCCTCCAGGGCCCTGCCCCAGCCCTGCCCAGGCCAAATGCTGCTCTTGCCAGCCAGGTGGGTCCCTCAGCAGCTACGTTGGTCTCTCCGACCCCCCAGTTCTGGAGGCTCTGTGGAGTTCCTGGTGCGAAAGGGGTGCCCCATCGGCTGGGCCAATGGGTCTTGTAGATCAGAGAGGAGGAGGATTTCGGGAGGTGGAGCCCAGCGACTGCTTCAGTGATGGGGTAGCAATGACTACACAGGGAGTGTGTGGTCAGTGGTGAGGCAGCATGGCCTAATGGTCAAAGCATGGGATGATAAGTCTGGCCTCCTGGGTTCTCTCCCCAACTGGGGGAACTCTGGCAAGTTGCTTAAGCTCATCGTGCCTCAGTTTCCCTGCCTAGAAATGGGGAGTGTGACCCCTGGGGTGGAGGGGTCTGAGGCACTTGGAGATTTGCACCCAGGGGGCCTGTTTGAGAAGCCAGGGTCCCATTGTGTGACGGCTCTGGCTGGCTGCGTTTCCCGCCATCCTGGTACCAACTGTCCCTTTCCCCCTATCCCCTCAGCCACGTGCGATTTCCACGGGCGCACATACATGCACGGAGCCGAGTTCAGCTTGGATGGAGACAACTGCACCACCTGCATCTGCCGGGTAGGCCTCAGCTCCCCCGTCCCGGGCTCCCTAGCACAGTGCAGGAGGGTCCTCACCACCTGGGGTCAGTGCCTGCTCATGCATCGCAGAGGGACAGGGCTGCTCCACCCCAGACCTAGGTGCCAGGGAAAGGCATGGCCTGTGGGGATGCCCAGGCCAGGGTAGGAGCGTGGGGGGCTAGCAGACAGAGGGCCCCTTCTCCTAGGAGCCCATCGGGGGGATGTGGAAAGGGAGTGAGGGCTGAGGCCAGGCTGCCTCGGTTGGAGCCCTCTGCGTGAAAGCTCTGGCAGGGCCTGCGGTGCAGTGAGGATGAGGAGCGGGAGGAAGGAGACGTGGGGCACTGCCCTGCCCCCTTTTCCCCCCAGCTCATGTGCGACACATCTCTTCCCCAGAGTGGCGAGGTGGAGTGCTCCTTCGCCCCCTGTCCCGAGTTGGCATGTCCCCGCCAGGACTGGCTGCTGGCCCCGGGGCAGTGCTGCTTCTCCTGCCGGGAGCCTGCACCAGCGTCAGGTGAGAGCCTGCACAGGGGCGTGTGCATGTGCTTGCGACGGGCAGGGGCCTTTGTGTGTGACACGCAGGGTGTTTTTGTCATGGGCAGGGGGATGGGCAAGGTGTGTGTGTGATGGGTGGGTAGGTGTAGGGCTCTGTGTGGTTGTGTGTGTGTGTGTCTATTACCCACAGTCCCAGGCCTTGTCATCTGCCCAGGGTCCCCACCTCTCAGGCTGCGCCCATTGGGCTCCCTGCCCCTCCTTTCTACTCCCCTCCTCTCCCGTCAGTCCCAGCCCAGCTCTGAAGCTCTCTCTCTCTCTCCCTGGCCAGGTTGCTTCGTGGATGACAATGGGGTAGAGTTTCCGATCGGACAGATCTGGTCTCCGGGTGATCCCTGTGAGTTATGCATCTGCCAGGTGAATGAGAACCTGCTCTACTTCACTCTCCTTACCTGTCCTTACAGCATGCAGTGTGCCCCCCTCTGCCCTGCACCCTGCGCTAGCCTTCCCTGGCTGGGGGTGGGGGCCAAGTGCTGTGCCTTATGGATATTGAACCCTCCAGAAGGACCCCACAGCTCTCTGCTGGTGCGTGCTCACTTGGCAGTGAAGTGCAGGCCCCCGTCGGGTGGACTGTGGCAGCACACAGCATCGATGGGCCAGGGCTGGCTGTGCAGGGCAGTCGGCCAGGCCGCGTGTGCCGTGAGTTTCTGTCAAGTGCTTCTCTCTTGCAGGCAGACGGCTCGGTGAGCTGCAAGAGGACAGACTGTTTGGAGACGTGTCCTCACCCCATTCAAATCCCTGGCCAGTGCTGCCCGGATTGCTCAGCAGGTAACCGGGCTGGGGGTCCCCTCCCAGGGAGCGACCATCTGCAGTGAGAAACCCAGGGACAGAGTAGCTCCCCCCCTCCATGGCCCAGCCAGCCCTCGTCCTCTCTGCTCAGACAGACGTCAGCCAGGCCACTGAGTGCTCCTGGGGACATGGAGACCCAACCCCCTACTATAGGCCAAGCAGCCCTCAGACAGGAACAGCTTTCTGTCATCACCAGTGTGGGGCTGACTTTGAACCAGCAACCCATCTGTGAATGGCTCTCCCTCCATCCCTTGAGCCGTTCTGGTGGAGAGGGCTCTGGGTGTGTCCCACACAGGCTCTGTTCCTGTTCTTGGTCTCTCCAATCTGCCAGGTGTGCCCTGGCCCCCCGGGAGGCAGTTGACTTTCTGGTGGGAGGTGTCATGACTGTGCCTTTCCTTCTCTCTCCTCCCTGAAGGCTGCACCTACATGGGAAGGATCTTCTACAACAACGAAACCTTCCCTTCTGCCCTAGACCCCTGCCTCAGCTGCATCTGCCTGGTAAGGGCTTCACCTTCCCTCCAAGCATTTCTGTAGGAAAGGCCTCTCAGGTCCATTAGACCACACGGTCTAAGCCAAGGGGTTTTATCCAGCCTGGGGCTGCACCTTCAACTTCAGACCCAGGGCTGCTCCAGATGGGTAGAACATGCAGAGTATGGAGGCAGGCACCAACGTCCCTGGACCAGGGAAGAAGAGTCCAGTGGGGTGAGGCTGTGAGTGCAAGGTGCCATGGGGGTTGTCATCTGTGGGGAAAATGAGGTGAAGACAGGTTTGAGGTCAGGCACTGTCCTGGAACTCAATCATCCTACTGTTGCTGCCACTGTCCATGGAGAGTCCTGCTGATCATCCTCCCTGGATAGCTCAGGTTGTGAAGAAGGTGTCTGGCCAGATGCTGTGGGTCTGGAGCAGAGGGAGTCTGGCTTGCCCTCCCCAGGTTGACAAATGGGGGATTTTCCTTTGCAGAAAATTTCAACAAAAATGGGAAAAAATTGTTTTCTTCTAAATTTTATGCAGAAAATTTCAATTTTTCAGTGGAAACTGGAAAGCAGAAATGTTTCAATTAAAAATGATTTCAGAGTAGCAGCCGTGTTAGTCTGTATCTGCAAAAAGAACAGGAGTATTTGTGGCACCTTAGAGACTAACAAATTTATTTGAGCATAAGCTTTCGTGGGCTACAGCCCACTTCATTGGATGCATCTGATGAAGTGGGCGGTAGCCCACGAAAACTTATG